GGGCATAAGTATTTTACTCCTTCTTAAAAGGGATGAAGCCCAGGTACAGAGCTCATGCAATACAAATGCATGTGATAGTGTGTGTGAAGGAACATATAGGTTCATGCCCTAAAAAAAATACAAGACAAAAAATGAAAAATGTTAGTAAACAAATAATTACAATGTAAAACCATTAGACTGAAGGATAGGATAAATTTAAAAGTTTATGCCTTAACTATCTATAGCATCCCCAATGGAATCGCTAAACTGTCATAATATATAGATCCGTAAATCTATAGCTAGACTTAACAAATGAAGTTGTCACCAATCTTTTTTATTTAGGTGTGATTGGCATCTAAGGAATCTATCCTCTTAAGGCGCTCCTAAGCTTGACTAAGGGTCTCTAAAAGAATAGGTTCAAGTCTATAAATCAGAATAGGGTTCGAGAGTTTGGTTACATGTGGGAAAGGTTAGAACACCCTTACATGCCCATCTAAAGGATGGTATTATATTATTTTAAATTTATCCTAAGGTATTGAGTCTAATGGTTTCAAATTTTTATGTTAAATATAAAAAATAATTTATAAGATTCTTCCATTAATCTGACAGAATTCTTAAAAATATTTTCTCACCTCAAGTGTATTCAAAGATCATATTTTTTTTCTTGAAAAGGCTCCATCGTCAAAAAATAGTTTATTTATTATTATTATTATTTTGTCAAAAATATATCTAATTATTCCACCATTTGGGTCAAATTAGAAATATTTTCTCTTTTTGAATTTTAAAATTTTTCACCATTTGGGCTTATTTCAAAATTTTTTTTATTTTCTTTATCTCTAAATTTTTCATTATTTGGGTCAATTCAGAAATATTTTTTTTTTTTTAATTTTTAAATTTTCACCATTTGAGCCTATTTAGAAATTCTTTTTTTTTTTGGAAAGAAAATAATATGACAATTATTTTTATTAAAATTTCATTTAAATTATTCCACCATTTGGGAAAAATTTAAAGAAAATTTCTCACATACAGATTTCTTAAAAATTTACCATTTGAAATTTTTAAGAATCTCATCTTTGGATAATTATCAAATATTTTCAACCCAAATTTTATTTTTATTTTTTATTTGAAAATAAATATTAATTATTGTTATTAAAACTTTATCTTAAATTATTCCACAATTTATAACAAATTTAGACAAAATTTATCACCTAAGAATTTATAAAAATTTATCATTTAAAATTTTTATAAATTTCATCATTGTATAATTAGTATTTAGTCCCAAAAAATATTTTATTTTTTAATTTTTTCTAAATTTAATCATGCAAAAAAAAAAACTAAAAAAATAAACACATAAAAAAATACCAAAAAAATACAAAAAAAAAAAGAATCGGCTCGGCTTGTGGCTGGAATTCGACTCGGCTCGAAACAGAAACAACAGCTAGAAGAACATGGCTTGGCAGCTTAGCTCAGCTTGAGGGATCGACTGATGCACGGGTCAAAAGTGAGTTGCGCTACGGGTTGGGTTCCCCAGTGATAAAACACGAGGATCTTGAGCTGAATTAAAATGCCAAAACGATGTCATTTTGAAACTACTATAAAAGGTCGTTCCTAGCCTTTTTCATCAGATTTCACTTTCCCCTTCTCTCTTCTCCCCCTTTTTTCTCTCTCCCTTTCTCTAGAACCGAATGAACTCCAGTTGAATCTTCGCCAGATTCTAAAAAATGTCGTCGGAATTTGGGTTAGTTCATCAAAAGTTTGCTGAAAAATTCTACCGGTGCCGAAATTTTTAACCAAATTCTGGGAAGCTTGTCGAAAAATTCAATCGACGCTGGAAAACTTGTCGAAAAATTCAATCTACATCGAAAAATTCACCGAAAACTAAAAAATTTTCAAAAATTTTCCAAAAATCTAAGAATTTTCCAGATTTTTTAAAAAAATCTCCCATTTTCTAAACCCAAAAATCTTCGCATTTTTTTACTATTTTTTGTGTTTTTGATTTCTGTGTGTTTTTTCAGTGTATGTGGGAGTATCTATTTATAGGGTTCTGATCCAAAGAACCCTATACTCGAATAGAATTCCACTCCCTTTTAATTTCAATTTCAATCTTTGAATCCAATTTAAATACCTCATATATAGTCCTGCACAAACTCAACCTGCCAGAGTTTCTATTTCTCATTTTTTTTCATTTATCATTTATTTAATCAACAGACCAAGTTAAGTAGAACCCCGGACAGATTGGGGTATTTATACTATTTACTGTAAATTCATATCACAAAATTGTGAATATATGAATGTATGACTTTTTGTTGAAGGGTTCGGCTCTAATCCTTTACTTTTTTCAGTAAATATACCATCTAATACATCTAAAACAGTCCTTGGCTTGGCATATCAGATTATCAGTGGGTGAACCTGACATTTTCAAAATCTTGGCTACATGATTTGGATGGTGATGAAATGCAAGCAGAAGAAGAAAAAATGAAAGGAAAAAAAGGGAGGCTCAAATTTGTAAAAGGCAAGGAAAACTGAATGGATATGTCTTTAAATATGTCTTTAAAATTTGTCAAACACAGCTATCCCTATAGTCCACACCCCAAACCTTCCATTATAGTTCTATTAATTTCTTCTTTTTCTTTTGTTCAAATCCGTCGTGATGATGCTCTTTTTCCTTTGATCAGATGGTGAGAATGCCAACCACTTTTAGCAGCGTGTAGCTGGTCATTCATGCCTCTGTGCGTCAATTCTTTGCTTCAACTTTCTTGCTTCGTAATAAATTTGGGATGCATCTGACAATTTGGCTTATGCTTTTCATGTTCAAAAGTTGGGTTAAATCTTTCAATATTAATAAAAAAATAATGATAATAATAAACTTGGGCTATTGAAAGCAGTTTCCATTGATGAATCATGTGCGCAAGACCAGTGATCCAATAGGCCTCCATGTGATCAGCGGTAATACTCAACCCATAAGCCGACCTGGCCAGTTCTTTTCTCTGTTTTTGTTAAATCTACAGCTGTCTTCTCTTAAAGATGTCGAGTTGTTGGGAAAAGCTATACAGTTAAAAGATTTATACATTGAACTCATCTTGTTTTTTAATTTTAGATGTGTTTTTTTAACAACTTACGAGAGTCATATATATTTAGATAAAAAAGAAAGGTGAATGGACGATATATATTTATTTTCAAATTGAAAAAAAAAAAAACAATTTCATTGAAAGCATATAGTTTCAAACATTTAACTGAAAATATATCAACCTAGAGAACTATATGGAAGCCTTGATTTGCATTATGTTGAATTTAGAAATGATAATTGAGTATTTTATTTTTACATTAAAGTTTAGGATGAGGAGAACTTTTCTCGGTTTAAAGTCCAGGCAAATCATAAGACTCAGAAATGATTTCTATTGAATTTATAGATCATTAAAAAAAATATTACTATTAGCAAAAATCAAACATAAATCATACAAATAAAGTATTTGATTTTTACCGATTTAATCAACTCTCATTGACGATAATTAAACACTTTGAGTTGTGTTTGATACCTTTAAATTTGACATTCAAATTATCAGACTTGAATAGTTTGATTTAAATTGTTAATTTTCAAATTAAATTATTTTAAATTTATTAGATTAACCTTTTAATATCATTGAATTTGAATCATTTCGCTTTCATATTAATATTCATTGATCAAATTGAATGGGGTTGGATTAGGATTCTAACAATTAATGTAACGGTTTTTAAAGTTTGGGTCACTTTTCTTGAGAGGACATGACTCAAGGGAATGAACAAATTAAGAATATTCGTTTAGCAACCGACTATATACTTGCAAATGTGTAGATGATATAATTTCTAAAAGAATTATATATATATATTTGAAATTTTTAATCCATCATTAAACTCTTTCAAATCCGTAATTTTTAATTGTCAACTTCAATGATATATCCATTAATACAAGGGATAATCGATCTAAAAAAACTTCTACTTGTATTATATATGGAAGCATGAAGATTATCATTGATTGATCTAGCTTCCACTTTCATGAAATTTTCTTCTGATGGATATATGATTATTGTTTCTCTTTCTGTTTGGAAACAAAGTACTAAAACCCTATAAACGGCATTAATTTCCCTTTTTTTTTTTTTTTTGCCGTATTTCCCACATGATTTAAGTCTGCTTAAATTTGGCCAACCTTAAATGAATGCACATTTACTGACCGACATGTCTAGGTGAGCGATTGATGTCTTCTTCTTACCTATTCATTTCAAACTATGGAACTAAAGGAAAGAATTCAACCAGAAACTCAAGAAAAATTTGAATCTGAACTCATAGTTGGATTGATCAAAAAGTTAAAACTTTTAATTTGAAATTATACACAAATTTAATCCAAACTCAAAATAATTCAAATTTGAGATAGATTTAATCAAATTTTGAAATAATTTGAATTTCATGTTAAGAATGCAAAATTTAATTATTAATCTTATTTTAACTTGAATCAATTCAAACTTAAAAAATTGAAATTCGAAAATATTTAATTTTAAAATAATATAAACTCAAAATAATCTGATTCGAATGCATTCTTATATGTCTATTTGTCATCTTTACATGGAAAAAATAAAATTTTTTTCTTTTAAAGAAGGTTAAGATTTTTTTATATTTAAAATTATCAAAATTTGATCATTAAAATTAAAAATTTTATATTGTACCAACATACCATATAAATTTATATTTAGTTTTATTAAAGCATGCCATATATATTGAACCAACATACCATATAAGTGTTAGGAGTCACCATCATGAACACTGTCGATTTTATTTTAAAAATTCATTAGTAATAAATAGTACGTATTAATTTTAGTAACATGATCAATGTGATGCATTGGAAATGTAACCACTATCCTCCAAAAAAAAAAATATTGTGACAACTACTATAAAATGAAAAGTCATAAAAGCCTCCCTGCATATGTAGTTTTCAACCTGACAAATGACTCGCAATTGCATGAAACCACAAATTACTCTTCAGCTGTCATCTCACTCATCACCGCATTTATTCTCTACTCTTCGGTCGATTAACGAACTAGATTTTAACTAAATCAAGTTCAATCGTATCTTTAACTCAGTCAAGCTCTATCTTGCTAACAGCAATTGCATCAACCATCTGAAAATGCAACCCACCTGGTTGCTTCTTCTTTCATTTTTAGGTTTCCTCTCCCTCCTCAATCACACCATCTCCCTTCTCAAATGGGTGTTCACCACATTTTTCAGAGCCCCCATGAACCTCAACAAGTACGGCTCATGGGCGCTCGTCACTGGAGCGACTGATGGCATAGGGAAAGCCTTTGCATGCCAACTAGCCCGCCAAGGCCTTAACTTAATTCTAGTCAGTAGAAACTCAAACAAGCTGAAAACAGTTTCGACTGAAATCCAAGCAGAATGTCCCCATATCAAGATCAAGGTTGTGGGCCATGATTTCTCCAGCGATGTCTCAACCGGTGTCAAGTTGATAAAAGAGGCAGTGGAAGAGGTGGAAGTTGGTGTGTTGATCAACAATGTGGGGATAACGTACCCGGTAGCCATGTATTTCCATGAGGTGGATGAGCAAGTGTGGAAGGAAATTGTTAGGGTGAATTTGGAGGGGGCGACTTGGGTTACCAGAGCTGTGCTACCTGGAATGCTAAACAGGAAGCGTGGTGCGATTGTCAATATTGGGTCTGGAGCTTCCATTGTTGTGCCTTCACATCCTCTCTACACGATCTATGCTGCTACAAAAGCGTAAGCTTATTATCAATTTTCATATTCTTTGTTGGTTTTCATCTTTCTTCCTTTTTTCAATAAACAAGAAAAAAAAAACTGTATTATTTGGCAAATTGGCAATCCCTGTTTCATTGCTAAAAAAATCAGTAAAGCTTCAAATTATTTGTTTTCCTGCAAATTAGGTGTATAGAGCTTTTTAAGTGTAGATATTCATAGAATAAAATCATTTTAAGTGCAAAAAGATTGGTGAAGAATTTTTGGCCAATGCATCCAGGACCAGCATGGATGATATATATGAAGGGTTAAGCTAGTCAAAAAATCAAATTAAGTTAGTAAAAAAGAACTTCCCAATTTCGCTATAGTCATCTTATTCACATGTGGGACCAGTGATGGCTAGCCATTTTATACTTTAGTGAAGCCCAAACATGCATGTTGTCAAAAGCTTCCATTGTAAAACTTAGAGAAAATTGATTGTTTAATTCTGAAAATTTTGTACTGATATCTTCAATTTACTAATATATACATACATACATACATACATATATATATATATATGTCTCCTTGTCATATTCTATGATATGCAGCTATATTGATCAATTATCGAGATCTCTTTATGTGGAATACAAGCTATATGGGATTGACGTTCAATGCCAGGTATGACTGTCACTCTTTTACAATCTAATTACTGGCTAAATTTTGCTAAATAACAGAGGTATATCTTTAATTAGAGGTACTGTTCATCGATCTTCTAGATTTAAACATGAATTTAAGGTTTGAATCCAATTCAACATGATTATATTATTATATTAATAAATAATATATTTGTATTACTATAAAATAACTTTATTATTTTAATGTTATTTCAAATGATGACCAATTTTAAATTAACAGAAAGATCAAGTTTTGATAAAATTTTGAAAATTAAATCAAATTTAATTCGATCTGTTCTAAGTTATGAATTTTTTTACTAATGTGCATGTATAACATTTTGTACATGAGCATCAAATCACATTGGATATTTTCATTGGTGATTAATAAAATTTTTAAAAATTTAAAATCTAACATCTTACCAAATTCAACTTAAAATAATTATTTTAAGAAATTCCAAAAGTTTTAACTTTTTAAACTCTTGTCAATTAATTAATAATTAATTAATGAGATGACCATGCATCAAATACAAATTTCATCTTCATCTTCCAGCAAACGTAAATAAATTCGTTTACCACATGGAGAGATGCTCTTTTGCGCAGGTGCCGCTATACGTGGCAACAAATTTAGCATCCAAAGTAGCATTAATTGAAAAATCATCCTTGTTCGTGCCATCGCCGGAACAATATGCGGAAGCGGGGATCCGCCAGATAGGGTACGAACCACGGTGCACGCCCTATTGGTCTCACTTCATTCAATGGTGTTTCGTGCGCTTGTTACCTGATGCACTTATTGATGCTTGGCGTCTCTCTATTGGCCTCCGTAGGAGGGCAGAGCTTGTAGCATAACTTTATTTATTTGTGTAGTAGAATATTATTTAATTATGAGAGACAAAGGAGCTTAAACCTAATTCAATTAAAAGCTTGTTTTGATCAGTAAAACGAAGTTTTTTGGCCGTCAATGCAGTGCTAAACACGGTGTGATTTGGTTCAAAAGTTGCTTTTGACAACAGTTGAAGTTAACTGCAAAGCAAAAAATTTGAGGAGATGATTTTACGGTTTACAACCTATGATTTAAAGAAAATTATCAAATACTTTTTTTATTTTAAAATTATGATAAATCGATCCCTTAATTAATTTTTTATTTTTCTATTATTTTTAAATATATAGCATTCTCATCTTAGACATATAACCAACACATACAACCATACAATTGGTTGGTTAAATGTACATGTGGAGAGTAAATGCTTCTACTTTCTCCAACTCATAATTCATGTTCATATGCTCTTAGACATTGACCTTTAATAAACCGAATATTCACTACTCTATTTTCCTCGCTTCACTTTTTTTAAGCCTCTTGGGGTCCAACTCTATAGGACATTGGCGGACGGATTCACCCTTGTGGAAATGTGTTCTCCAAAAATTGAAAAATAATAAAATTTGAAGAAAAAAAAATTTTTTTTTTGAACATTCTAAAGATTGAGAAATAAAAAATTAAAAGAAAAATTTTTTGAAATTTTTTTTATTGTTATAACTTATAAATTTGTTAATAATTATATATATATATATATATATTATAAGTAGATGTAAAAACAAATTTTGAATCCATTACTATTATAGAATATCTAATGCTTATGATGGCTGTAGACATCAATTTTGACTAACTAATTTTTTTATAGTTTAATATTAATATTGATATTATTATTAATCTTTACAAAAAAGAAAAAAATGTAAAAAAAAATCTTTGATTTCAACTTGGCAGTTGAAATCAAGCTGTCAGAGTGACATTCTTTTCCTCTAACATTACCTAACTTGGCAGCATGAAATCCGGTGAACAAAAAAAGTTATCAGGAAGACCTCCAAATTTTTCACAAAAAATATCCACGGAGATCTGGGATTTGAAATCCTAGAAGCTCTATAAATAGAGCTAATTTCTGTGAAACAAAACAAGGAGAACAAGAGGGAACAATCAGGGGAACACACACAATCAAAAAAGAAAAACCAACAGCAAACACAAAAACAAATTTCCCAAGAATGAAATTCTCGATCTAGCTAGTTTAAGATTTTTTTTGAAAAATCTGGTTTTGAGAAGGTGTTTAGAAAACAAATAGGATTAATTTGGAAATTTTTAGGATTTTTTTTGAAAAATTTTTAGGTCACCGGAATCTGAAAAATTTTGAATTTTTTAATGACCATTTGAATTTTTCGACGATCGAAATCTAGGTTCATCGTTGGAATCTGGAAACTTTTGAATTTTTCGATATCGATTGAAGTTTTCAATCACTGAGGCCGACGAAGGGTATTGGGTTTTAGAGAGAGAAATGGGAAAGAAGAAAATAAGAAAAAAAATTGATTTTGGCCTATTTATAGACACCCAAAATGATGTCGTTTTGGGCGTCTAAACCAAACCTGACCTGCATAGGATCCGTGTGCCGACACGCGCGTCAACTTGACCCTTTTCGTAGGTTTTTTTTTCCTTTTCTTTTTATTTTATGTTTTGATTTTGATTTATTTTATGTTATTTTTTATATAATATTATTATTATTGTTATTGTTATTTTATATTATTACTAGTAATAATTTTTTTTAGAAAAAATAAATAAATAGAATAAAAATAAAACTGAAATAAAATAAAGACCTAAAAATATAATATGCAACAAAAATTAATACTAACTTTTTAAAGAAAATAAAATTTTATTACAAGCAAAAATATTGTTTAAATTTCATCAAAGAGGTGGGATAATTTAAAAAAAATAATTTTTGCTAAAAAATAAATTATAAAAATGATAAATAAAATAAAAATAAATAGTTTAAATGAATATTCTAAATGTAATTTTTAAAGAAAGCTAAAAGAGTTTAGTTTTCTTTAATTATTGCATGTAAAAATAATATTTTTAGATTCCACCAAAGAGTTGAAATAATCCAAAATTATTTTTACTATAACAAAGGTTGATTTAAACAATGTAAAACAATAATAAAAATGAAAATGAAAAATAATAATAATTGATATTTTTATTTTTTTAAAAATAAAAATTAAAAGAGTTTGATTTGTTTTAATACGAGCAAGATATAAATATTTAGATTTCTTTGGTGAGTCAGGGATAATTTAAATTTTATAATAAAAATAATTAATAAATAATAAAATGTTTTTAAATAATCATAATAAAAATTAATTAATAAATTCCTTCAATTATAAAAAAAAATGATTTTATTTAGGATCTTGTCAAAAAGTTGAGATGATCCTAAAACTTGTTCAAAATTTTAAGATTTCACTGAAGAGTCGGGATAATCTTAAAACTTGTTTAATATATTTTGGAAACTCACCAAAGAGTCGGGATGTTCCTAAAATCTTTTTTAAAACAAATAAATAAAATATTTTATGACGAAATTTCAAGAATTTTGTGAATGTCCAATTTTCTCGAAATATTTTCTAAATAATGATTTTCTATAATTTCTGCCAAAGCATCGGAGAATTTATAGAATATAAAAATGATAATAATAATACTAATTTCACAACAAAAATTTTTTTAATAAATTTTAAGAAATTAAATTTAAATATAAAAGATCGTGCTATCAAAATTATAGGTTACACATGTTTAATTGGTACCGTTCTTCGAACGAGCGATATGAGGGTGCTAATACCTTCCTCACTTATAACCATACTCCCGAACTTAACCCTGATTTCGTGGACCTAAACTTTTTTTAGTAATTCTTAATTAATTTTAAGATTTTTACTAAAAGATGATATTTTGGGTGGCCAATCACACCCTACAAAAAAAAAAGATTGGTGGCGACTCTGAAATTTTCACCAAATTTAACGATCGAGTCCCCTCGGATGAAAAATCGTTATGACAGCTTGGCAACTCCACTGGGTACCACTTGAGAGTCAAGTCAAAAATTAAACATGCATCATCTAAATTTTGATTTTATGGTCTTTTCGATATTTAATTTTAATTTCTTATCTCATCTTAGAATACATTTTTTTTTGGTGTCATTTAGTTTTGATATGTTATTGTACTTATTTTATATTATTGCTAATTGTATTGTTAATTTTATTAATAATTGTTACATTCCCTCACACACGTGCACATTTACATTCATGTACGAGCTCTATACTCGGGCTCTCAAATCTATCCCTTTTTATGAGGGAATAGAATATTTATACTTTCGTAAGGTTATAATGCTTTCGCTTGGGCTAGTGAAATAATTTGACTCAAGTTGAACCTTTTCCATTAGTAGCCCGTTATGGGTGAGGATCAAAGGTCTTACTAGTCAAGAGTGGACGACAGTGAGGATCAATTTGGGAACCTTGTCAGCCTATCTTAATTACCAAACCATGCATATAGTGATCCTTAATAAATCAACCTTAGATAGGGCCACACCATTTTTGTAGATTATACCCTAAATTAGGACACATTAGGGAATATTTATTTTAATATGATTACTAACCCTATTTTGTTTTGCTCTCTTTTCATTTCATGATCATGTATCATCATAAACACTTGCATATGGGATGTGCTTATCAATATGCCAATATCAATAAGAAGATTTTCAGTTTTGCTTCGAAAACACCATCATGATGTTATCAGCTTCAAAGCCTACTGTGTGTGAAAGACCAATGAGGTGATAACTCTATCATTAGAAGCCCAAAGTAGAATTGAAAATTGTTTGAAAGAATCTAAACAAGAAATTTTGCTTGAAAAAATCAAATTGGGACTTCAACAAAATGACATCTCTGAGTTGGTTGAGATATGGCGTCATGCACTTTTAAAAAGATAGCTTTCGATGAAAAATATGGTCATATTGCTTCACTACTTGAGGTGTCTACGAAAAAATCAGTTGATAAAAGCTTTAATTCAATTTTGGGACCCTGCATACAGATGTTTCATAATCAACGAAATAGATATAACCTCGACAATCGAAGAGTATACTAATTGTTATGGGTGCATCTCCCCAATCTAGATAAAATCTATTGGTGATGTTAAAAACTTGGATCTCGAAAGAAACTTGCCTATATGATGGAGGTCCCTACTCAGAATGTGAACTCATATATCCAAATAAAAGGTAAAAGTGATTACATCTCGTGAGAAATCTTACGTGATTACATCATCAAACACTTAGAGGATGAACAAGGTATGAGAATGATAGCTTTGGCAATTTATGGCTTGATCATTTTTTTGAAGGTCCTAAGGCATATTGAGGTATTAGTAATTGACTTTCTCTAGCAAGTGGGTAATAAAATCAACCATGTTCTTTTTATACTGATAGAGACTTTTAGATCATTGAGTCACTATCGAAAAAGAAGAGGACGCTTCATAAGATGTGTATAGTTACTCTACATTTGGATAAAAGGTCACCTTCAACATCCCGTGGATAAATTTCATCCTACTTATAGTAATAAAAGTAGGCCAATTGAAGAATGCTATAATGTTGAGTGGCCAGAATCAAAGGTTAAGGAAGAATGGGTATTGACTTTGCAAAATCTCACTAGTGCTCAGGTTATATGGAGAGCTCTATGGATGCCACGACAAGCCATGTTATACAAGTGTGGTGATAAGCCATGAGTTCCACTCTTAGGATTGTGGAAAGGTATAAGTTATGCTTTAACATTGGTTTATCGATAATTAGGGTCAGTGCAATTTCCCAATGACTCATAGGCTTCAAGAATTAAAATTCTCTTTTGAAGAATCAAGATTTTTGGGAAAGATAAAAGAGATTATCAGAGAATGGAAGCAAACTTGAAAAGTAGATCGTGAGGGATATACAGATAAAGCCACATTTGAATATCTGATATATAGAAGTTAACGGGTCAAAAGCAAAGTTGGTCCCAAAAAAACAAACCATGCCACC